GTTCCCTTTCAAAAGAAAAAAAAGGGGGGGAAGAAAAAGGGGAAAAAAAAAAAGGGAAAAAAGGGGAAAAAAAAATGAAAAAAAAAAGGGGAAAAAAAAAAAGGAAGAGACAAAGGTTGGGGACCCTCCACAAAACGACCAAGAGAAGGGCATGACAAGGTAAGTGGTCCATTGCAGGGGTGTGATACAAAATAGTGGAAATTACAGGGGCACCAGACAATTTTCCCAAAAAGATAGGGGAAAAAAAGAAACCAAATAAAAGAAAAAAAAAATGTTCAGAGAGGGAGGGAATATTTAGCTAGAACATGGAAAGATACACCGCAATGATTTTTGTCATTTGTGCGTGTCGAGAGTAGTGGAGCGAGCCCCATCGTAGAGGGGGAAAAAAAAGTAAATTGCTTTCAGTCGGGGATTTTTATGGTTTTTTTTGTAGTATTTTTGGTGACTATTTTTGAAATTTATAATTCACCAGTACTGTTAGATGGTATCTAGCGAGTCTCTTCGAGTTTCTCCAACCACTCAAGCCATACCTTTCTGCCGAGGACAGGAAAACAAAGCATTTTGAATTTTGTCACATCCAGCGTCATCAAAGTGTACTCACATTATTCATGCAGTGTTTTACTTTTCATCGTATAATTACTGTATTAATTTGCATAGATTCTTGTAATTTCACAGAAATAGTCAAAGCATGAAAACAAATATGGTTTGGTCCGTTTTCCTTTACAGATTCTGTTTTCATTTCTTGTTTAGCAGAAACTAATCGTGCTTCTTTTGATTTACCAGAAGTTGAAGGCGCGATCACTAAAAAATCATTGACGCCAGTCGTATAGAGGATTTAGATTAAAGGTAAATTGTATGCCTTCCAAGCAGGCGATATGGGTTCAATTCGAGGCCTTATAAATCCTGGTCTGGAATGTGAAGGCAAAACTCTCGACTGAAGTCCAATTAATTTTGCCCCCGCGATATGTTTGAACGTTTGAATGCGTTCTACTCACATTTCAAGTATTACATAAATCCTAAGTCTTAAGATTCTACAATCAGAGAATATTCGGAATCCTGAAATACTACTCTTTCATAGACAATCGATTCTCATTATGGTCGATAGTTCACTTACTGAAAGAATCTTATGCATTGACCTTAGTGCAAAGCATCTGTTTTAGGTATAGAGGGTCATAGGTTCGAATCCTGACACCTTGAAACCAAATCAGTTGAACAAATTGACATGGGTGAACTTGGGTATTGCAAAGATTCTTTAAAAAGTTAGTCACATTCTACAAGGTGTATGTAATTATTAACAAGAGCAGGGTAACCGGTGTCGGGATGGGACGAACACGCGAGCCCGAACGACCGAATGTACGAGATCCCTTGGGGCGCAGGAAAAAAAAAAAAAAAAAAAAACCCTAAGAAAATAATATATTATAAAGCAAAATAATATACATCCAAATTCCTTACCAAATTTGAAATGCAAATAAAATACAAAAAATAAAACTTATAATAAAAATAAAAAAATAAAAACAGAACTAAAATTAATGAATGAGCGAGCACATTTTGGACACTGCCATCTTTGGTGATTTTTCATTTTTGCTTGGCGGAGCCAAATGATTTGAAAATTTACGAATGTGTAATTCACATAATATAAAACTCATTTAAAAAGTTTCAAAAATAATAAAATTGTTTAGGCCCTGCAATAAAGTAAAAAACAAAGTAAAAAGTGGAAAAAAAAAATAGTGAGTGGGTGAGCACGTTTTGACACTGCCATCTTTGATGATTTTTTATTTTTGTTTGGATTACCAAAATGACTTCAAAATTTACAGGCATGAAACTCACATCATAGAGAACTCTCAAAACAAAATGCAGAAAAAATGACTTATTTTTAGGCTTCGAAATAAGTTTTGGAGGGGGTCAAACGCCTTTAAGTTTGGACCCTGAACTGCAGCCCGAACTCCCGTACGTATGGAGGTCAGCCTGGGGACCTCCGAACGTACGGGCTGGTAACCCTGAACAAAAGCATATTTAGATGACACGAGTCAAACATGGCTATGTCGCTCGTAAACGACGTCGAAGTGTACTTTGTCAAAGCATTTGTTCAATGGGAGGTCATTGAATTTAAAACCGGATACGAGACTTAACGGGTCATTTATAAATAAAGAGGCGCAAAGCCGACGGATCTCCAAATCTTGGATGTCACAAAATTTGAAATGCTTTTGATTTTTCTCTAAGAGAAAGCGGCCTCTTATACGGTCGGCCACTTTATCGAAAAATGACCACATTGGTCGACCCTTCGACCCTCTTCTATCCAATGTGGTACTTCATGAGCTTTGGAAATTTGTCATGCAACTGTAGAAGATTGTGGATAGAGGGTCGTCGGTAGAGAGAGCAACAGCCGAAGGTCTGATTACATATTTCTTGAGGCATGCTGATCTGTGATTGTTAGCGATTCGAACTTCATGTTTTCGACCCGCTAAACCATAATCTGTTAATTTATGATGTAAATCATGATGGTTGGAAAAATACACACCAAACATATCCCATACTTTTGGTTCCCACCAACCAGCGACCGAAAATATTTTGACTACCGAACAGATGAGAGTTATTTCAACTACGTGCATGTACATGAAGACGTGAGTTATATTGAATAATCAGTAAGTTATACACCACTTATGTTGGCATGAACTATAACTGTATGGTGCAAGTTATTATGCAATAAGAAAACAACATCTGATGCAAACTCATAAGATGATCAGAGTGCAACGGATCCTATGTTGGATGGTCTTCCTTTTCCTGTGTTTGGGCCTCGCTACACCACTATCGAAACGAAAAAAGTACAAATTACGTTCATGCAATGAGTTGCCAGATGCATCGATTAGTATGAATAGTAATAGATTCATCTGATCATATTTTTGGGAAGATGCACTCATACTTTTCTCATTTCGATAGTGGTGTGGCGAGACCCTTTTTGCCAGTTTCATAATAGTTACTGTTAGCACTACTTTTCAGAGTAACTTTCCTAATATCCCTTCCTCCTGCGCAAATTCTCTGTTTTCGATCATTGTAGCGGATAATCTACGTGGAGGGAAACAAAGAATGTGCGGAGATGGGGCCTCGCTTAAAACAAGAGTGAATCTTCCCCTATAACATGAAAGATACATCACTATGATTTTTGTCTTTTGAGAGTGTCTAGAGCAATGGAGGGACGTCCATGTACATACATTGACCCTGACGGAGTCCCTAATGAAGTTATCCAAAGACTTGGAGTCAATAACACCCCTATGTGGCAAGTAGGGTGAGAAATGTCTTCATCAGATGATCCTCGCACTATCCACAACAGCGGATGCATATGTGTAAAGCATGGGACGGTGAGAGCCTCGATGTGTACATATGGCACACCCTGAACCCATGTTTGTTGAGTAGTTGTTATATATATATATATATATATATATATGGGGCGGGCCGAACGCCCAAACGTTCGGGACCCTTGGGGATGCATTCGGTCGAACGTGGACCTGAAAAAAAAAATCAAACAAATATGTTATGAACTAGGCTACCAGAGTGGCCCGGGGTCATTTGCCCGGCCGGACAAAAAATATATATATATATATATATATATATATATATATATATATATATATATATATATATATATATATATATATAT